AGATAAGTGTTACTTGTGAAAGGACTTTATTAAAGGTATAATTGTTTCTACACTAGGCATAACTATGTTGGTTAGGGGCCCATTTTTTATGCATCTAACATAGCTATTGAAGAAAAACTTTTAGGTATAAACCAGGCTTTAGAAAGATACAAAATAGAGCTCCTTTTTTACAAGAGGAAGTGGAAAGGTCAGTAGAGTTCATACACATGGTCTCCAGTGTAGCCTGTTGTCTGCCTGGTGTGTGAATGAATTCAGAACCACCGAATCAGTCTCTAGGCAATGAATATGCATGTATCTCTTGTGTTCACTGTGTTCTGAGAAACAATCTCCTCTGAAGAAGTGGATATTGCCCACCAAAGCTCATGATGATATATACATATTTCTTAGTCTCTAAGGTGCCATAGGACTACTCAATGTTTTTAAAGTTACAGACTACTAACATGGCTACCCTGTCTGAGACTTTTCCATAATGACCTGTTCTGATTGCCACTAGGTGGCACTTTAAGGACATGACAACCAGTTGCTGTATTCATTTTACATGAGCTCCTATACCAGAACTGATTCCTTTCTTTTATAAAATCTGTATATGCATTTAACCATCTGTCCTCTCTAGTTAGCCATGCACAATTGTATTGTGAGATTTGCATTGCACACTTGGGTATGATCCTCATGATCACAAATGAATAGGCAGAGCAGTACCATCACCAATGGCTTTTGACAGTAGCGAATGGTAGAATAGAAATGTAGCCCTGCAATCCCTGAAGCTGTTGTTCTAATGACTGCCTCATGTCCAAGTCACTCAAATAGCCCATAAACATAAAAAATTCTGTATCATCAGATACTGCAAGAAATTCTGAAATCTTATCTTTCAGCACTGGCAACAACACTTGGCTCAATATTTGCATCCGATAGTGTCCAAAACTTGTGCTTTTTTTCTGCTCAATATAGTGTCCAAAACTTGTGCTTTTTTTCTTTCCTTTTATGCACTTTATTATAAATAACTGTGAGGCCTTTCTATTGGCTGAAGGCTGTCAGTGGCAGGGAAATTAGGGGAGTGAAGCATGGTAGCTTTGCAACTGAAGTGTGATCCTTTTTTGCACTTGCCAAAATCTAATCAGTAGACAGAGACAGATAGAGCTTCTCTGGTTATCTCTTCCTTCCATCCCAAGCTACCCTTCTAGAATGATTTACTTTTTAATTTTGTTTCTTCCTTTTTCTCTCAGTTACATGTGGTCCTCTTCTGTACATTTCTTTAGAGCAGGCAGATATACCAAATGACTCCTCCTGGGGGGGGGGAATGGGGAGAGATCATCATTTTTCTCTATGAATCAACCCTTTACCAAAGGAAGGTGGGTGAGAGTGGAGATTTTCTTCACACATCCCTCATGTCCAAATTCATTGCCTCCATGATGCTTTTGAGCTCTGCTGTCCTAAGAGCCTTCATTATCATGCATATTCTTGGAGTGCCTGCCCAGTATGCTCTGACAATCCACTGACGCCTGTATTTTGCTTCTGACTTTCTTTTGGTTACATAAATGGTTCTGGAAAATAAGAAGTCTATTGTTTGTATCACTGGATATCAGAGACAGGTTTGTATTATAAAAATTAAATCCTTGATTTCAGGGATTCAGCAAAGAGTGTCCCTTCCCCTTTCATTCCTCTCCCTTTCAGGAGCCTTCAGTTATCATCTCAGCCTAGTAATCCCTGGAAAGTTTTCTAAATCAAAATGTTAATACCACATATTAGCCCCTTGGCAAATTAGAATAGTTGTCTTTTTAGCATTGGTTTGCAGTACAAATATACCATACTTGAAGGAGGAAAAGGGAAGTGTTGTCAGCCATGGGATTTTATGTTCCTTGAGACAGAGGGGAATTACATATGCATTTAAAGGAAGATCATAAATCTCTCGCCTAGAATTAGTTTTACCCCCTTACATTTGTAGAGCAAACCTGACAGAGTTTCCTCTCCTCACAAGCTTCCATAGTGCTCCTTTCGTAAGGGGGGTAGAAGTGGTATGATCAAGTCCCTTTCTAAAAACATTATAATCTATATCTAATTCTGACATTGTGTGATTTATGGTTTGTGCTTAACCAGAGACATTGAAGTTTAAATCAATGATTTCAATTAAGTTTCCCTCTGGTATTTTTTCACATATTTCTTCAGACAATGGTACAAATCTGATCACTAAAACATGTTAATTTACACCTAAGGGCAGCATGTTATAATATCTAAGGGTATGTCTACACTACCACCTTAGTTCGAACTAGGGTGGTTAATGTAGTCATACGAACTTGCAAATGAAGCCCGGGATTTGAATTTCCCGGGCTTCATTTGCATGTTGCCGGGCGCCGCCATTTTTAAATGTCCGCTAGTGCGGACTCCGTGCCCGCGGCTACACGCGGCACGAACTAGATAGTTCGGACTAGGCTTCCTATTCCGAACTATCTAGTTCATGCCGCGTGTAGCCGCGGGCACGGAGTCCGCACTAGCGGACATTTAAAAATGGCGGCGCCCGGCAACATGCAAATGAAGCCCGGGAAATTCAAATCCCGGGCTTCATTTGCAAGTTCGTATGACTACATTAACCACCCTAGTTCGAACTAAGGTGGTAGTGTAGACATACCCTTAGATATTATAACATGCTGCCCTTAGGTGTAAATTAACATGTTTTAGTGATCAGATTTGTACCATTGTCTGAAGAAATATGTGAAAAAATACCAGAGGGAAACTTAATTGAAATCATTGATTTAATATTTTGTGTAATTTTTTTTTAGATAACTTGATTTTTATTAATTTATGGGAAAGTACATAATACTCATTACTTGTATCAAGCTGCAGATGCAGCAGCAGTACACTAGGAATGGTAAGAACTAAAACATACACACAAATACATTAGCACTCATATTTATTAAACTAAATCTTGAATGTTACAGAAATGTTTCACACTTGCATTTGCAGCAGTCTCCTGAGTTGCCAGCTGATGGCTGTCCTTAAACTCTTTTTTTAACAAAAGTTCAAATTTAATTAACTCTAACAGACAACTCCTCGGAACGTTAAATGTTCAGTGTCTTCAAAACTTCCACAAGTAGTTCTCATCTTCCCTTCTCCTGCTGTCATTTTGATGAAGATCTGATTCCAAGTTACCAAAAAAGCAAAGACTGTGCTTAGAGTGCTCTTAATTTTGGAGTAAGCCTCATTGAAAACAAGTATAGAATGGGGTTCCTTTGGGAAAGCTGAGTTATGCTGAAATAAAATAGGGAATAGACTTATGGCATCATCATTATGGCCTGAGACAAAGATGTTCCAAAATAAGGAGCATGTACTATGTAAAATAAAATAAGAAAATGACTACTGGCAACTCTAGATCTCTCTTACTGCAGCTTTCTGTATTGTATACTTGGGTGATAGATTCTAAACCTAGTTAACTAATTAAACAAACCTTAAGGATTAGCTAAGCTAAACTTTTTTTTCTAGCAACATCCATCATAACAAATAGCTTAGAAATTTACTTGTTAAATGACATTAATACTAAAAGGCACAGAGAGAGTCTTGAAGAACGATGCATTGCAAAGTTGATCCACATCGTACTTCATACATATCCGCATCTTCCTTCACATCATTTTCTTCCAATAAGCAGTTTTCCTTAAGATGTTTCAGTCTTGCAATGAATCCCTGCATCATCTTCTTGCACTGCTTACACTTGAAACATTTTCTTTTTTTACTGAGGGAACAAATTTCTTCAAAATATTCCCAGAAAGGGTCTCTCTCACACCCAGAAACCATGACGGTTTTTCTGTGGCAAAAGAGTGGGGGAATATAGGAACCTGCGTGTGTGTGCCAAATAATGACTCCCCTTTTTCTTTCCAGTCCATTCCACTGTTCCTTTCTATGTTCCCTCCATCCTTTCTTAGGGTATGTCTACACTGCCGCCCTAGTACGAACTACGGTGGCTAATGTAGGCATTCAAACTTGCAAATGAAGCCCGGGATTTAAATATCCCGGGCTTCATTTGAATGTTCCCAGGCAGGTGCCATTTTTAAATGCCCGTAGTTCGAACTACCTGCCCGCGGCTACACGCGGCATGGACTAGGTAGTTCAAATTAAAGCTTCTAATTCGAACTACTGTTAAACCGCCTTGCAGGAGGAATAACTAGTTTAGACATACCCTGGGTTGGGAGACCTAGGGGACCTGATTGGTCCTGAACAAGGGAGGTCCGACCTGTAATTCTTTAACCAAGATGGCAGCATGCCTCTTTTCCTTTGAGGCCTTTGTCCATTTTGCTGTATGCTCAGCTGGCAGCAATTGGGATGGAAGAGAATTCAGGGGAGCTAAACTGTGAGGTGCAGAGTATCCTCAGCTCCATTTGAAAAGGTGGCACTCTCTCCATAGAACCATAGAATATGTTCTATACTCTCATTCAGTGAGCTCCAACGTTGCTTCCAAACCATAGTCCTCTTGTATGGTGGTATGAAGCTGAATCTTTGTCCTATTGAAGGGAACTCCTAGGATGATGATTGCAGCATTTAAATGAGCCATTTAATCCAGGAGTTTTTGGAGGATGGAGGTGTTACAGCTTCTACAGAGGGAACAGAAAAATAATTAGCCTCGTTTTAATTTTCAGTCTAGTCCAGAGGTCGGCAATCCTTGGCGCATGGCCCATCAGGGTAATCCGCTGGTGGCCTTTGGGACATTTTGTTTACATTAACTGTCCTCAGGCATGGATTCCCACAGCTCTCAGTGGTCGCGTTTCCTAGTGACATTTCTAGTGTTTTGCAAAAAAATTTCTCGTTTTCTTATCATAGTAAGATTTTTCAATGATTTAATTAAAAATATAGAAAAGATGCATGTCATTCACTTAGCTGTCACCCTAACTTTCCCCCTCAGAGTTAAATTGCTGAAGTAACTCTCCTTTTGTGTGTAGTATTTGCATTCATTGTCTTTATTGTACATGACTGCTAGTCATTTTCTGGGTGTAGCAGTGACTGATTTGTTGTTACAGACAGAACAAGTATCTGAGATTGAATTACATCCTCAGATGAATAGAGCCCCATTGCAGACAGAAGAAAGTAGTCCAACGAAAAAGGTAAGGCCAATATGTCTAATGCTGTTGTCAAATGATCTGCCTTTATCTTTTTGCCTTCATCAACTAACCTTAGTTGTTTTAAGTTTTAAAGCAATTAAATGGAGGCATAGGGTTACATTTTTACATGTTTATTTTTTGTGGAGGTCAGGACACTGGGGACATTCACTATCAGCTCAGCTAAATCTTTAAGAAAGCTTTCAATCCACACATCAGTGCATGTGCATTAAGAAAAAAAACAACTTGCCATTTGTTTACAATATAAACACATGGGCCCTTAAAGAAATGGGGAGAAGTGATCAATGAAGTCTGGTCCTCATTTCCTTCCAGACCTTCTAACATGAAACATTTTAAAAATCTGATATTAAGGGTCCAGCATCTTTCACTACTTTATTAGTGCTCAGAATTTCTTGTATAATATGCATAGAATTGTAGGACTTAGTTTAAAACATGAATTAAAGGTTTTATATGCTTGCAGGCATATAAAATAGATACAGTGTAACTACAACTTTGCATTTTCTAGGATTGAAACAACCTGGTCCCATTGACATCTTTGGGAATTTGACTTCAACTGGTCTATGATTTCACCCATCCTCTTTTAGGTTTCCCTTTCAGGTTTCCCGTCTTTAGACTTGTGAAACAACAAGAGGCATCTCTCTTCTTACTGTAGGTGCTTCTGACAAATGCTGGGAATAGAAAATACCCCCCAATGTGTACTAAATAATTAGGCAGCACATACAAATAAACCAGCCCTCAACTTTCTTCTCCCCTGAGTATCTTCCCCTAACAACAGTTGCTTCTTTGGTTATCTTCCTGAAAAGATGGGCTTTGCAGCATGCCAGGAAGATCAACACATTCTGGCTATTGCAGACCGAGAGAGAGTGACTCCACAGGACCGTCTTATTTCACTTTCCGACTACTACCTTTTGGAATCACACCTTTGTTTTTGAGCCAGCATTCTAAGCCTCAGTCCTTTCCAAGATCAGTAGTGTGGGCCGTTGGTTTTTTTTTAGGAGTTAGAGGTCTAAGATCTCCAATAATACTTCACCAGGTACTAGTGCACACAGACATTACATAGTATCTATGTAGGACTGGTGTATGACACAGTGTGGTACCAGGAGGTGCCATGGAGGGGTGTTCTTGATAGGGAAGGAGCTGCTCTGACCTGAGAAATGGCTGTGATGATACGTGGCTGGGGGCAAGAGTCTACACAGGTGGCCTGTAGAGAGAGTTTGATTGATGTCTAGTGGATGAGGGAGCTGTTGAAACACGCCCACAGGTGGTAAAATGGCCTTCTGATGTCAATTTTCAAGTGAAAGCATACTTCCAAGAAAAACATAATAGAAAAATCAACAGTTAGAGAGGCCCCTGAGACTTCTCCTAGCCACTAGGAAAGTGAGCCACTTCATTACAGTTATAGGATGTTGTCTAGGACATAGCTGAAAAGTCCATCTAACTTGTATCTTAAAATGCTAGTTTTGGCATCGGTGTCTTACCCAGGTGTGTTTCTAACCAGATGCTCACCATTTATCTGCCTGGCATCTTCTGGCAAGCTTAGTGTGTTGTCTGTCTTTTGTTAAGTAACAAACTTCTTACAGGCTAGTTTCCAAGCTCAATTAGAAATAGTGGTATTGTCTCAGCCCAAAACAAACTACAGGGTAGAAGAACTGGTTTAAGGTTGCTTTGTGAAAGTCAGATTTCTTTTCCTCTCAGGCTACGTCTACACTACAGGGTTTTTGCACAAAAATAGGTGTTTTTGCACAAAAATCCATGGAGCATCCACATCTCAAGTGCGTTTTTGCGCAGGTAAATTTACAGAAAATCAAAAGAACAGAGGGGTTTTTTGCTGTGTAGGTATTCCTCTTTCTGTGAGGAATAACTCTTTTTTGTGCAAGAGTTCTTGCGCAAAAAGGTGTATGTGGACAGGCAATAGGGGATTTTTGTGCAAAAAGAGCCAATCCAAAAAAGCACAGGTGCTCTGGTGGCTATTCTATGAATAGCAATCAGAGCTTTCTTTTGAGAGAGTGTCTATGCAGTCCACAGCAGTGTGGGTGTGCTCTTGCGCAAAAAGTTTTTGCGGAAGATCTCTTCTGCAAAAAGTTTCTTGCGCAAGAAGCCTGCAGTGTAGACGTAGCCTCAAACTGACTTCCCCACCATCTTCCTAAGTAATGTTCTCTTGTGTTTTCACTTCTAATGGCTTTATAGTGGACCATCCCTTCACATAGAGCACTCTTGAAAATGGGGCTTTTTGACAGACGGTTATGGCTCTTTTTGCCATACTAACGAAAACAGAGATTGTGTATTTTGTATTTCCCCAGCTTTCACCCTTTTGGACATATAGAAATCACACACAGGTTCCCTAGTCATCTCACATGACATTTGCAGAGAGAGATAGTCAACCCTGCCAAGTGTGAAGCCACAGTGTGATTTGTGAAAGATCATACAATAGTTACACTCATCTGCTTCCCTGTTCAATTAAATGGTAAACATATTTTAATTTGGGGGGGGGGGGGGAAGGAAGGCGAACCAGAGGACAGAGTTTTGGAAACGAGATTCCGAGTCTTTCTCCTAAAGATTAGTAGTTGAAATCAAGCTCATCAATAGAGACTGACATCTATTACTATTTCATGGCTATTCAGTGAGGTTTTGGGAATGAGTTCTTGGTCTTATTTCAAATTCTAGCAGCCCGGCATCCACATTGGCGAACCCCACATCACCTCTGTGGCAGCTTCATAGGAGGCCAAGGGCTGAATGAGCATAGAGCCTGAACTACTTTCTGGCCCTAGTGGTGGGGTTACCCTTTATAGATTTGAGCGTGAGACAGGGTGGGAGAGCTTACATTGCAATGACTCATGCTGCAGTCATTTGCTATGTCAGTGGGGGACTCAGACACTAATGCTGTTAAACCAATGACTTACACAAGGACCACATTCACTCACTTTAATTAATGAACACTAAGGGACCCATCTCCATTTTGAAAAAATGCAGAACAGTATATAGGCTGAAAATGTCTGCTATTTTTAGCAACAAATATTGTGAAAATCTGGTATGTAGATGTAATCGCTCTCACCCCGGGTATGTATTTTTTTAAAAGCAGTAAGCAAATGCATTACTTATACAATGTCATGTGATTCTTTTGTGTGGTATTTCACATGTTTAAGGCAAGTGGTTTGCCATGCTGGTTTGTGTACAACAGATCCTGTTTTAAGTTTGATTTGTTTGTTTTTAGATTTTTTAAGTGGCCATTGAACTCTGTAGAATTTTGCACTGTTAGAGACTCTACCTTCTCATAATGTTAACTCTGTTCATGGCCTTAAATTTAACTTTTAATGCAAAATACCTGCAATAGCCCTCTCCTGACTACATATTGCAGCCTTGTGGGCATTTCAGTGGTTCATTTAAAGGTGTATTACTTTGTTTAATTTATTTGTATTTGTAATACAATATATTAATTGGTATTAATTGGTTCCTATACATAAAAAGGAAGGTAGCCTTGTCCAGTGAATATGCCACTAGTTTGTATAATGAAAGCTGGGGTCTAGTCCTGGCTCTGCCAATGTCTCACTATGCAACCTTTGGCAACTCACTTTAACATTTGGTGCCTCAGCTTCGTGCTTTATGAAATGAGGGTGATAACACTATTTGCTGTCTTTGTTAAAGCACTTGGAGATTTACCAATGAAATGTGCTAGGAGAGCTACATTTTATAATAATAATTTATTATTATGACAGCCTGATACTGCAGTTGTTTTCAAGCTTTGTTTTGTTTTGTTTCTTTCCTGGGGTTAAGGGAAATAAGGACTATTTTGATTAAACTAATGAAAACACTTCTGGCATTGTTCATTAAATGCTAATGCCTTTGTCTTTTTTACTAGAGCCAGACCATGTTTTTTCATGTACTTATCCATGACAAATCACTACCCTTATATGCACTCATTCTGCAGTTATAGTTTACATATATGTCTCTGTAACCCAGTTCCTGAGCTGCCTCTAAAAGGGTATGTCTTCACTACCCTCCTATTTCGAAATAGGAGGGTAGTGAAGACATACCCTTTTAGAGGCAGCTCAGGAACTGGGTTACAGAGACATATATGTAAACTATAACTGCAGAATGAGTGCATATAAGGGTAGTGATTTGTCATGGATAAGTACATGAAAAAACATGGTCTGGCTCTAGTAAAAAAGACAAAGGCATTAGCATTTAATGAACAATGCCAGAAGTGTTTTCATTAGTTTAATCAAAATAGTCCTTATTTCCCTTAACCCCAGGAAAGAAACAAAACAAAACAAAGCTTGAAAACAACTGCAGTATCAGGCTGTCATAATAATAAATTATTATTATAAAATGTAGCTCTCCTAGCACATTTCATTGGTAAATCTCCAAGTGCTTTAACAAAGACAGCAAATAGTGTTATCACCCTCATTTCATAAAGCACGAAGCTGAGGCACCAAATGTTAAAGTGAGTTGCCAAAGGTTGCATAGTGAGACATTGGCAGAGCCAGATTTCTGGGACAAACATCATAGGCTGCAGGAAGCCTGACTTGTGTCCCAGGCAAATGCCTCAAACACAGGAGATCTGGGTTCAATTCTTGTGTGACCTTGTGCAAGTCGGTCCCTCTCACACCCTGCATCTCAGCTGTACTATGGGGCAAGGTGAGAAGTGCCTTTCCATGGCTGCTGGAGCAGACATAGCTGAGGGACAGGCGCACATCCCCTGGTGGTGGCAGGTCCAGGTTCATCTGCTCCCTGTGCTCCCCAGCTAGAGTGAGGAATGGAGCAAACAGTGCACTTTCCCCTCATCCCTGACAAAGGGGAACAGCCAGCAATGTTCTCATATGAATCGGGGGAGGAGGGGAGTGTTGCTTCAGCCCTCCTGCCTTCTCTACAGGATACTTGGGGGTTGGGAGGCTCAGGTGTGGGGCAGTCCTGGATGGGGGGACAATACCCCCAGCCAGCCCCTTTCACCTTCCTGGTGATTCTGTCTCTCTTCTGTATGGTTTTCTGGAAAGCAATCCCATTCTGGGCACTTCCCATTTTCCTGGTACAACCAAACCCTGACCTTGGTTTAACTTACGATAAGAGGAAGCTGCACATCAAATGTGGTGGTCCTAGCTCTTACCGTTTAGGAGGAGTTCTTGGGAAAACAGACAAACAAAAAGACAAACTCTCTCAAATAGATAGTCTGCTTTTTAAAAACCACAGTATGTTGTTTTAATACTAATCTAATATTACTGAATTTAGTTAAAACTGAGACAGCACAAAGCTGAGGCCATACTTCAGCAATTTTTGTCCAAAAACATTCCCTCATCATAGCCTTTTCTTTCCTTAAGTCATCATTTTAGCATGTCTTTGGATTCTGACTTATGTAAGGACTAACTTAATCTTTGGTTGGTTTTTTTTCTCCAAAGGAGATACTGCTTACTCAGCCACCCTCCAAACCAATCCGTAGGAAATTCCGCTCCGAAAATCAGATGTTGGAAACCCAGGAGCTCACTCCCACGATCAGCGTGACCTCTTCCTTGTCTGCCATCAAACCCCATCTTCCAGCTCAAAAGTAAAACACACACCTAAAAAACTACACCACGTTGCATCAAAATTGATTGGGTTGTTTTTTTCCTCATTCCCATATTTAATGATTGATTGACATAGGGCATTGGTAATGATATACAGATTTGAATTGTTCAGTTCAAATGCAGGTCAGCTGTAGTGATCAAAAATTGTTAACATCTGATAGCTGAACAGTGGCCTATTTGAAATGCATTTGATGAATTGAGTCGGCAAATATGTGCCCACATCATAAAACCTACCACTCAACTAGCCCATGTAATAAGGTGGCAGGGATCTTGTGATAACCGTACTAGCAGGTGTTTGAAGCCTGCCTGCTGTTGCTTAAGTTGTGCTCACGTATTTTGACAGTTGTAGCTTGTTAACCAATCAGGAGATGAGGATGGGGGAGATGACTCCAAATCCCTTCAGTTTTGTCATTGAAATAAGATGGGCAGTTCTCCACAGCAAGGAACTAAACTTCAAACACAATCTCAGTTACACAGGCTTTCAGAACACTGACCAGCCCCCACTGGTCAGGTGTTTGCAAATGCTGTAGCTGAGGCCAGCAACATTATTTAACTATCACTTCAGCCATAGTGTAGAAGTGCAAAAAATTCTCTGGTACAACTGATTATACTAAGCACTTCTGTTCAGTTCCAAGCATACGACAATGATACTCTTGCTGTGTGTCTTCGCTGATGTTGAGCAATAGATAGTTGTCATCTTCCAATCCAGCAAAGAGAGGCCCAAACACTGAAAAGCAATATTTCCCAAATTTATTCTGGAGCCCCATAGGAGCCAACAGTTTCAAGATAATGAACTATAGAAACAGATCTACCAAGTTGACAGGAGTCTTTAGAAGGGCTTTGCCCTTGGCCTAGGGGAGATGTGGATCAGAGCATGATTACAATATGCTTGTGTCTAGACTGCATCCCTTTTCCGCAAAAGGGATGCAAATTAGACACATCGCAATTGCAAATGAAGCGGGGATTTAAATCCCCCCGACTTCATTTGCATAAACATGGCTGCTGCTTTTTTCCGGCTCGGAGCTTTGCCGGCAAAAAGTGCCAGTCTAGACGTGGATCTTTCAGAAAATAAAGCCTTTTCCGAAAGATCCCTTATTCCTCTTAAAAAAAGGAATAAGGGATCTCCGAAAGATCCCCGTCTAGACTGGTGCTTTTTTCCGGCAAAGATCCGAGCTGGAAAAAAATCGGCAGCCATGTTTATGCAAATGAAGTGGGGGGGATTTAAATCCCCGCTTCATTTGCAATTGCGATGTGTCTAATTTGCATCCCTTTTACGGAAAAGGGATGCAGTCTAGACACAGCCTACATGTTTAATACTCATTTCTGGATCCATCCCAAAGAGAAGAGTATAATGCCCATAAGAGTTAAGCTATAAACCACCTGGGATAATCTTACGATTGCCATGATATCTATGAGATCTAGAGTCACTATGTTGCAGCTGTTGCCAGCATGCATATTGAAAGCATAGATATTGAAGTCACCAAGACTAAAGAGTTTTATGATTTCAATAAGTCCAACAGTAAAACAGGCACAAGTGATGGGGTGTGAAAAGAGCGGTGTTGAGTCAAATTTATTTTATCCCAGGATTCCTATTCGAGGTGAGTGCAGTTGACTCTTTCTTGGGGTTTGCACATCTCTTTCAAATGAAGTTGTATGCAAAAAACAGGGCTGAGCTTAGCCCTAATCCTCTGTATCTCATCAACAGACTGGCTAGGGAGGTTGTGGAAGTTCCTTTACTGGAGGTTTTCAGAAAGAGGTTGGATAGCCACCTGTACTGAATGGTTAGACACAACAAATCCTGCATCTTGGCAGGGGGTTAGACTAGATGACTCTTGAGGTCCTTTCTAACCCTCTGATTCTATGTTTTGGGACCAGGCAATCTGAGCCAAAATCAGGTCAGCTGAGTCATCCAGTCGGTGCTTCACAATACTTTACATTGAAGCTCTTCACCGAGAGTCTGAATCTGTGCTACTTGACTTGGAAGATTAAAATAAAAAATAGGGCTCTTCTGCTTTTGGAGACCCAGCTTTGTAGGAGGCCCAAGGAAAACTGCAACACCTACTAACATCTCTAATCCTCTCTCTATGATGCACATACTTAAACTGTCTCTAAAAGGTTTGTGGCCATGTAGAGATACATGTACACTTTGATTTATTTTATTTTTATTATAAAAATGGTTAGGGGACAAACTGTAGATAAACAAATTGATGGAAAGGTGAAAAATAATAGCAAAAGGGCCAAACAATTTTAAGAAAAATGCAGAGATTCTTTTTCAAAGATCACTGTTGTTCACTCTGTTTAGTGAAAGAGTTAACTTGGGCTTTTCCTAAAGACTTGCCGCTATGTGTTCTGTTTAGATATGTATCTGTCTTAGCTTATGATGTCATTTAAAAGCTGCTGACACCTCATGTGCAACAGTTATGCTTATCTAACCTATATTTATCATATGTCCCTTTCTGTGTTTTTTTTATCACTAACAAGATTTGTATTTAAACAAATCTTAGTTTCTTTAAGAGTCATGGACAGACAAATAAGGTTCATAATTCATCAATCTGCAGTCTCATTGTGTGTGACATCACAATCAGTTGTGGTGGAAATGACTGGTTTGAAAGTGGAAGCTTAGTATTTCAAGTATAGAAAAGGAGCAGAAGCAGTTACATTCTAGAAAAAACAAAGATTTTATTTTCATGCGGCTGTCCTTAATAATAAAAAGATACTGAAGCTAAGTAAAATTGTTTCTGAATAGAATGTTCTGTATGATTTCCATTAGACATTAGTTGACATTTTAAAACCTATGAAGTGTTTGAAAAAAATAATAGCAAGAATATTGCAGCACATACAAGTACATTGACAATAAAATAGTTGAAAAGGGCCTAAAATAAGTCTATGGTTCAGATTAACAAATGATACCATTTTGCTTTTGAATAGCCATCTGATTGAGTCCTCTCACTTACATGTACACAACATTTTCTGGGGAAAGTGTATCTTTTTCTTTTGATCAAGGTTTTGTACACATGTACATAAAGTGGATGTCTGGCCTCCTGGGGACAGTCACTGGTGAGGCTCTTTTCATTGAAATGTTTTGTATTTAACTCTCCAGCAGACAGTCTTCCAAGCAGAAGAGGGCTATTCAGACTGCAATTCGTAAAAACAAAGAAGCCAATGCAGTGCTAGCCAGGTTGAACAGCGAACTCCAGCAGCAACTGAAGGTAAGGGACACACAGACTATCACAACTACAAGGCTTGATGCTATCAGATATTTTTGCCATTGGCTAAGGATCTAGTGCCTCTATATAGATGAAATCTACTGCTTTGTTTCCAGACTCTTTTTTTGAAGCTATGCTGTAACTTTAGGGCTGAGTAGTCTATTTAAGAAAACGTGTAACCTAAGTGCAAAGGTCTGTGTTGTCGATTGAATTGAGTTTAAAAGATAATTCTTGTATTTTGAATGCTAGTAGAGCATTTAATGCTGTCTCTTCATGCATGAGAGGAGCTCAGACATAGCTTTCTTTGTCTGATCGGTTGTTATTTAGCTTCTTACATTCGGTCCTTCATTATACAAAGTCTACTTGCCTTAGATGAGCCTCTAAGAGTGACTTCATGACACTGTCCCTTGCAAGGTATTTGAGAGCTTTATTTGAGAGCTTTTAAATTGGTAACTTCCTGATAAAAATAAATTCTATTCTTTTTAATTTTCCAAACAAAGTCAATAAACTCCTTCTACTGGAGCTTCATGTCACTTATATAGATTATCGTACTTTTACGTAAGAAGGTCTGAACCGAGGCTATGTCTATTCTTCAGGCTTCTTGTGCAAGAACTTTTTGGGGAAGAGATCGTCCCCAAAAAGTTCTTGCACAAGAGCACATCCACATTGCCATGTGCGTTTGTGTAAGAAATGTGTTTTTGTACAAGAGAGTGTCCACACTGCCATGGACACTCTTACGCAAGTAATCTCTGATGGTCATTCACAGAATGGTCATCAGAGTACGTGTGCTTTTTGCGATAGGGGTTTCTTGCCCAAGAAACCCCTGGTGTCCGTCCACACACGCCTTTTTGTGCAAGAGCTCTTGCGCAAAAAGGCTTATTCCTTATAGAAAGAGTAATAACTCTTGTGCAAAAAGCCCAGTCTTTTGACAAACTGCTGTACTTTTACTTGTGCAAAAACTCGCTTGTAGTGTGGATGCTCTTGTAGTGTAGCCTGAGATCCTTTCAGAGACCATCAATGTTGCTTGCTAGTCTGTCAGCGTAATCTGCTATTGCTTTTCCCTAAGAGGTTGAAAATGCTACTTTCTGCAGCATTTCCATCTCTAAAGGTGAGACTATATGACCAGAAACTGAAACATGATGTCTTACCTAATAGCACAGTGGATTGCCACTGCGTTTGCCTGCCTTGACTTTCTTTCCTTCCTTTAGTGTTCCTCTGCATCTGTCAGAGTCTGCATGAAAAATCCCCATTCTGTAGCAATCACATCCCATTCCAGTCACTCAACCACTTTCCTTAGAGCAGAACTGAAGTACGGTTCCATGTAAGAATTTACCATTACCATTATTCCCAAATTGTCCAGAAGGATTTCTCAGAAGTAGTGCAAGGCAGACTCTCCCGGCCAGTACTTTTGATTAATCACAATTAAGTCGCATGATTAACTCAAAAAAAATCATAATTCAAATAATTCATCCCAGTTTTCATAACACTGTTAGGCAATAGAATACCAATTGAAAATTATTAAATATTTTGGATGTTTTTCTACATTTCAAAATATATTGATTTCAGTTACAACAGGATGCTAAGTGTACAGTGCTCGCTCACTTTATATTATTAAAAATAATTGCCGTGTAAAAATTATAAACAAAATAAATAGTATTTTCCAGTTCACCTCATACAAGTACTACAATGAAATCTCTTTATGGTGAACTCACTAATCACTCTGTGCTCCAGTTTCCCCATCTATAAAAAAAGAATGATTCTATTAATCTCAGTAGGTTGTTGTGAGGGCGGATTGTCCAATATACTTTCAAAGCACCGTACAAATAAAGCAGAGTATAAGTTGTACGAGCTTGAGATCTGTTGTAGATGCCAGCTGTTACTGAACTACTCTTTAATAATGCAGCATTGTATGTGTGCGTGCAACAAAAAGTTAAAGCATTCCTTTTTTTTTCTGTAATCCAGGAAGTTCACAAAGAACGAATTGCATTGGAGATGCAGTTGGAACAGCTTCGTCCTGTAACTGTCTTGTGACCTTCAGTACATTATTTAATGGCGATAAATGGACACACGTGCCAACAATTTTTTGACTGTATTAGCACAGCAAATCTGTGTATAGTTTTCACTGAGGCAGAGGCACTGGAAAAAGTGGAATCTACATTGGGTTTCTTTGCACACCACCTTGCACATTTTCCCTTGCAGATGAAGAGGTAGAGGAGATAAATGTCAAACCATAGGTTATATCTAAGAAATGAAAGCTATTTCCTACTTGTTCTTCAGGATATTACAAAATGCAGTTAACTACCAAAATTAATTGTAGTCTAAATCTGAAATTGTTAATAGTTTTAAAAGTGTATTTATTTAAAGAATTCCTGATATGTGTACTTTCTTGAAAATCAATTATTATAAGTTACAGGCATTCGGAATTCTTCTTTATATGTAAAATCCCTATTCTAACGCTGTTTCTTGGATGTTTCCGATTTCACATAGGTTTATACCAGGAGATAGTGACTGTAGTTTTAAGACACAAAAGAATAAAAATAATTGTACGGATGGTCTATATTCACAATCATGTCACTTAATTGTCTCTTTAGCACCATTTATGATTATTCATCATTTATGTCAAATATTACAGGGTTTGCGTGTTATAAGTTAAAAATCACGTGAAAATGCAGTGTTGAGAACTAAAAACCATTGAAGCTTGCTGATTTTAGACATTTTTAAAACTTGTTTTTAAGCTATATCTGCAGGGAAAATTAGAAATGGACACACTTTTCTGTATGTAATTAATGTGTACTTGTTAAGCGTATGTTCTGCTTGTCTTTGGAGACATCAGGTTTTTTTTCATATTTGTTTGCATTGGTCTATATTCCTGTTTCACTAGCTATTGCATTTGTAAAGAATCTGAACTAGATGTTTGATTTCCAAATAAAATAAATGTATGTATATGCTCTAGGTAGCATTTCTAACTGGCTATGATGCAAAGACATGGATCCTACAAGCGGCTGTCCATTGAGTGGCCTTAATACTGTGCAGGAGATGCTCCTTACAGGAGAGACACCTAGGATCTTTCCTTTTGCGAAAGGGAAAGTCAAAGTTAATAGTCCTCTGTCTGGGTCTGATCTGGGGCCAATTGAAATTGATGGACATCTTTCCATTGACTTCAGTGAACATTGGATTAAGTCCTCTGAGACTTTCTGAAAATGAAAGCTTTCTAATGAACCTTTTAGTTTTGGGGCCAAAACTCTTATAATGCATAGTTTTAGAAGAAATGAAATCAGCCTCTTCCCTTTGACATATGCCTCATTGATAAAAACATAGCATGCATACTGTCCTCTTTCTTTCCTTCCCCTCTCACAACCCCACAAGTGATGCATTATAGTCTTTTCTCAGTGATGTAAACTAACCATCTGCATTAAGTTTGCAAACGTTCTGCATACATATTTTCCTCTATTATTTGTGATGCTTTATCCATCCAGTTTTGGAATGTTCCCTAAGGGTGGGTTAGAAATAACTACCCAGTCTCCTGTCAGGATATGGTGTGAAATGAATAAATGTGAAAAAGCTGTAGTGGAATAGCAGGGCAGCCAGAAGTTTCATCAACATGTCAAACAAGAATGACATCAATGTAAATGTTTAAAGTTGACTTGGTGACGGAACAGACTCCCTTGACTGAAGTTTATATGGATTCGAAATTTATAAAACATTATTCCAATGGGGGGAGGGAAATCTTCACATTTGTAAAACTGTGCTAACTGAAAGTTGGTTAATGTTATTCCTTAGCTAGCTAACCACTGTTCATGAATTTTTGAATTTCTGACTTCTGTGTTAATGCTCTGCAGTTAGAATCAGAGTGGTGACTATGGATTGTAACTAAGTGAAGGGTGTGGTAATATCTTTTAGAATTGCATCATGCCACTGGACAAACCATCGCTTATCTAGACAACTATGCCCATGCGAAATAAAATAAATTGGACCTCCTTCTGTGGGGAGAGAACAAGTTTTGTAGCCCAAAAGCTGATCTCTCTCGCCAGCAGAAGTTGTTCCAATAAAAGGTATTTCCTCATCCCTCATGTCTCTCTCATATCCTGCGACCAGCACTGCATATGCAAATCATTCTTTTCATTTACAAAATTGAATGGTTTGATTTTTATGAGTTAATTTTTATTAATTCTTGTTTTGTTGGTTTTTACTTAACAAAATGACAATTTTAAAGGACAGAGTTGGGCAGCACTATCCATATTAGCCTGAAACATCTTTCTAGGTTTTTTTTTGGTTTTGTTTTGTTTTGTTTTTGAAGATGTCAAACCTCCTTCTGTTATTTAGGGGCGGGAGGGGGGGGAGGAGGAATTGTAATGAGAGTTACTACTGCTCAGCCCCTTCAAAAATCAGGGCTAACATTTTCAAAAGTGTGCTAAGTCCTATTTTCAAAAGTGACCTAGTTCTTTCAAAGCCTAAGTCCCCATTAACTTTCAGTGAGACACAAGGGAAAAATGTCAAAAGATCTAGACTCCTGAGCTTCCTACTCTTGAAAATGTGACTTTGGTTCCTATATCACACAGGCAATTTCTAAGTTTTAGCCTTAAGCTAAACTTGGCAATCATGGGTGTGTAAAATTAAGCACTTGTAATGGTCTGATTTTCAAACGTGCTCAACATCTACAAATCCTGTTGAAGTCAATGGGAGTTAAATGCTAGGAATTGTTTGGAAATCAGGCCAGTTTATTTCCATTCTAAATACAGAACATCAGACACAATGAACAAGTTATGGGGATATGTTTAAAGACAAACTATACAAACACAGACCATTGTTGAAATATTAAAGATTAACATTCTCCTGTTTTAGGATACCATGAAAATGTATATATCATCTTTTCATGTGGCTCCCATATTGTTGGATTAAAAACATCAATCATTAGCAAGTTCAGCCCTGTTGAGTTCAGAAATGTCAGTTTTCACTTGAAACATTATTTCCAAGCACAGTTGTACAGGATGGGAGATGGTTTTAATGCAGTGAACACTTCAGTCACTTCAGTAAGAGGAACTTTTTCAGCTTTCTTCTAAATATTTCAAGCTTTCTATTGTACTCAAGAGTCTCAAAGCATATCTTGTCATTTCATATATTGCACTTGTCCATACAAGCATGGTTGACAATTTTATTGAGGTGGTACCTAGCCTAAAATTAGCAATATCTCAAACCCTACTTCAGCCCTAACAACACTGGATAACAATTGTTTGCAATTACAAAACTAATCCTATTAGGTGGTTCTGATTTGGAACTCTTCACAAGTAGCTTCTGGATAACCTTAATATGGAAATTATCTCTCCCTGTTGTAGAAGGTGCTTCTGACAAGTTTAATTCCCAGATCATGACACAGACAGTTTGTGAAAGTTTCCAGTGTGTAAGGGAGGAGCGTTACTTCTCCAGCACTGCCAGTCCTTTAGCCTTTAGCACACAGACACCTTAATTGACAAGAAGTAGTTGGTGTGATAAAAGTCAAGATAGGAAAGAGGGATAATGAACCCAGCTATTTGAGCAACTAGAGTGAAAACTTATTTTTTCAAATCATGACTATCCCAAATATTATGAATTTGAGAAGAACTATATATTTTGAAGGTTTCCTTTATTCAATTGTCTTCATGAAACTGTGTACTACATTTTTGCTGTTTGTCATCTTTGTTTGCTATTGACCATTTGATATAAATCTGGAATTGGGTAACTTATTGCTGATAATCTAAAATTTAAAAGATAAATTCCTCTCCAGGAATATATATATGTGTACATTTACTTATACAATGTAGTTGATACCCATATTCCAGAATATTTGTTTTCACAGCTGCAGAAATGTGTGTGTGGTGGTTTGCAAGATATATAGTATTCTGTACTATGCACATCCAGTTTTGGAAAATGTATATTATACGAACGGGGTGCTATGTTGAAATAAAAAGCGACAATAGATTCAGTTTGTCTTGCTACTTATGTTTTGTACAAATTATATAAAAAGAGGAAAAAACACCCTATATTTTGGTATGGAAAGATGTTCAGTTGACATGGCTAACCCTTGAGTAATTAATGTGCAAACACATATCCACCAAAAGGGGTGCAGTTGGGTGTGAGAGACACGATTAAAAAGTTTACAGTGAAATCCTGGCCCTGTTGACCTCATTGGAGTCATGACTTCACCCTTCCTTTTGCAAAAGTTCACTTTGCCCAAAAGTAAACTACCAAATGGAACCAGTTTCATCTTTTAAGAATGTGAATAGTATAAACATCAGTGAGAATACTGAGGTAGTCTGTGTGTGCATAAGTAGGAGTAATGGGATGAAATAAGTAGATCAATAAATTAACCAGGGTATTTTCTCCCATTCAACTTAGCAGTGAATTCTGTTAGACTGCCGGGAAATGGTGGTGCTCTTGTTATCTGAGACAATAAAAATCAGACTAGACAAATCACTATACAGTATGTATTTTGAAAACAGTCCTTCATAGGCACAGAGCTAAGTTAGATGGACTAATGGATTATTTCCAGCTCTTGGCTACTTTATTTCTATTGCTTAGCTTTACTTCTAGTCAAAGACTAGGGTATAAAAGAGGAAATAGTGATGACTTGTAAATAAATTATTATAGCTCTAAGGCAAGAGAGAGGATGCTTTATTAGCCCTAAATATGTCTCTGGTGCATTAGAGGAACAAAGTCACACTCAGAACTTGTGAAAACATGCTGTGGGGGTAATTATGCATTGGCAAGAAGATGGATTTATATCAGCGATGGGCAGTGTTAATGAGTGGACCACATGAGTGGCCCTCCTTCATCTCAGGGGGCTGCAAGATTGTTATAAGCAAGATGGTCTCCCAGGACAGGGTAGTTTTGCTAAATGCATGTGTCCCTAGAATTTGGAGGCTATGTCAATTGAACTGTAGCAGCACTTTGGCTACGGAGGGAGCACACGGCTCTCACAGTCAACACTGTGTGTAATCAGCACCCATCTCACTTCATGTGCCCTTGCTTTACATGTGTGTCAGTTTAGTAATACTGGTAGGAAATAAACTACTCGGATGGAAGCCAGTGGAATCTGGCAATCCTGTGCATGGACAACAGTAAACAAAATGTTTCATGGGCCACACTCAGAATGCTGCCTATAGCCCAAGGGTCGCAGGCTGCCCACCATTGATTTAGATGATTTCTATGTTCCTGGGGAAGCGTCGCAAGTCGGGGGGTCATAACTCAAATCCTCATTTATGATAGGCATCTTGCGCTGTCATAAATGCAGGCCAAGGACATATAAGTCATGGGTTTTTCAGCCCCTTTTGCACTTATAGTATTGGTTGTAAGTGTGGGGGGTCGCAACTCGGGCAGTCGCATCTTGGGAGTTTCCTGTATTCTGGGGAACTTTAATATAATTCCAGTTTGGCTCTCCCAAGTGTAAATTAATGTTTTAACATTTATGAAGAGGGAATAAGTATCTTTCACTATGGAAAATCATTCGTATTGAAAGAAGGGGGGGGAAGTAGAAACAGCTAAGGATTTATTTATTTTATTATATTGAAAAAAATGTCTGCTTGTAAATCTTCACCCATGTCCTCTCTTTCTTTTCTGACCATTAAGGTGATAGGGAACAGCCAGCATGGATTTGTAAAGAACAAATCATGTCAAACCAATGTGAGAGCTTTCTTTGTTAGAATAATGAGTCTTATGGATAAGGGAGAAGCGGTGAACGTGGTATACCTAGACTTTAGTAAGGCATTTGATACGGTCTCGCATGAAATTCTTATCAATCAGCTAGGCAAATACAACTTAGATAAGGCTACTATAAGGTGGGTGCATAACTGGCTTGATAACCGTTCTCAGAGAGTAATCATAAATGGTTCACAATCCTGCTGTCAAGGTATAGCAAGTGGGGTTCTGCAGGGATCTGTTTGAATGGTTCACAATCTTGCTGTAAAGGTATAGCAAGTGGGGTTCCGCAGGGATCTGTTTGGGGACCAATTCTGTTCAATATCTTCATCAACAATTTAAATATTGGCATAGAGAGTACGCTTATTAAGTTTGCAGATGATACCAAGCTGGGAGGGGTTGCAACTGCTTTCGAGGACAGGGTCATAATACAAAATCATCAGGACAAACTGGAGAAATGGTCTGAGATAAACAGGATGAAGTTTAAGAAGGACAAATGCAAAGGAACAATCAGTTTCGCACATACAGAATGGGAAGCGACTGTCTAGAAAGGAGTACGGCAGAAAGAAATCTAGGGGTTATAGTGGACCACAAGCTAAATGAGAGTCAATAGTGTGACCTTGTTGCAAAAAAAGCAAACATGATTCTAGGATGCATTAACAGGTGTGTTGTGAGCAAGACATGAGAAGTCATTCTTCTGCTCTACTCTGCACTGATTAGGCCTCAGTTGGAGTATTGTATCCAGTTCTGGGCACCACATTTCAAGAAAGATGTGGAGAAATTGGAGAAGGTCCAGAGAAGAGCAACAAGAATGATTAAAGGTCTAGAGAACATGAGCTATGAAGGAAGACTGAAAGAATTGGGCTTGTTTAGTTTGAAAAAGAAGAGATTGAGAGGGGTCATGATAGCAGTTTTCAGATATCTAAAAGGGTGTCACAAGGAGGAGGGAGAAAAATTGTTGTTCTTGGCCTCTGAGGATAGAATAAGAAGCAATGGGCTTAAACTACAGTAAGGGAGGTTTAGGTTGGACATTAGCAAAAGGTTCCTAACTGTCAGGGTGGTTAAACACTGGAATAAGTTGCCTAGAGAGGTTGTGGAATTTGCCATCTCTGGAGATATTTAAGAGAAGGTTAGATAAATGTCTTATCAAGGCTGGTCTAAGTCAGTGTTTCTCAAACTGTGCTCCATGGAGCCCCAGGGCTTCGCAAGACATCTCCAGGATCTCCGCAAGGTTGGCAAACTAGAAACATGGATAGGTACAACACATATAATCAGTGGACCGCTGAGGCTCTGCATAAATTTTTATGCCTGTAAAGGGCTCTGGAGCCCAAAAAGTTTGAAAACCGCTGGTCTAAGCAGTACTGGGTCCTGCCATGAGGGCAGGGGACTGGACTTGATGATCTCTCGATGTCCCTTCCAGTCCTAGTATTCTATGATTATGTCCTCTTCCTACTCAACCAGCGCTTTCCCTCTGAGCATTCTGAGCCTGAACATGGACCCTTAATTTGCAAGGGGAGAGAAATGAAATCACTTCATTTCCCTGAACAGGAAAAAAAGTGAGTTTGATCTATGCCTGCCGAATAGCCAGACCACAATAAGGATATAATCTGCACCCACGTAGCCACAGTCCTCCCTATTTATTTTGGTCCTAGACATCCAGCACTCCAGTCATCTGAAGTAGTGGGCTGTGCCCACAAAAGCACATGATACCATCTACATGTTTTGTTAATCTATAAAGAGCTACCAGACTATTTGTTGTTTTTTCTGTTTACCTGTACAGACTAACTCGGCTATCCCCTGGAAATCCTATCCAGTCACACGCTCCCAATCCCAACCCTACAAACAGGCACACCAAAATGGCAAAAATGTGTCTGACCATTTGAAAATGCAGTTCAAGATGGAGTGTGTGTTAATGTTCAGGGTCATGGAGGATCCGAAGGGGCAATTTATCATGTCTGTCTATGCTGACAGCGCCCAGAGAGAAGGCAGAAAGAAACTCTGGTAGGATGCAGCTCTCATACTTTATAGGCAGCAAGGAGATTCCCTTGCCATCTTGTTTCACCCACCCCCACAGAAAAGGACTTTTAAAAAAGCTTTGCTGGTCACAGCTTTGTAAGAAGGTTTACATGCCACTTGATATCCAAATCATTCTGTTCCCAGGTCACTTAAACAATCAAGCAGTTCATTCTATTTGTCTCAGATTATGGGTGTGTTGAGCTAGTCATACCTGCATTCATCAGGCTGGTACAAAGCTTGCATTGTTTAGCATAAATTCCACATGCTTATCTAAGAGAGGAAAAAACAGATGGACGACTTACCTGTGTCTTAGTTCAGAAATCGCCATTTTTCCTGAAGGCTACTAAAAGCTGAACTTGAACCAAGAGGCTTCTAGTTTTATATTAGTGGGTTTTGAGAGCAGAACTTTGTTTGCATTAGCTCTCACATGCATAATTTTTTAAAAGCGATGAGTGATTGTGGGTAACCACAGACACAGTTTACCCACCCCGCCACTGAAAATCATAGCCTTTTAAATGGCCTTAAACAGGACACTAGAAATGGAGGCAGCCAGCTTCACTTGTCACTCTTGAAAAATTAGGCTAAAAGATTTCCTAATATGTGGAGTGAAAATGGCCCTTCTTGGAAGCAGTCTGTTTCTAGCATTTGGCAGCATACCAGCTGACAAAAAACTTGCCAACGTGAGCTCTACTGCTCATTACTCTCTGAACCAGTGGAAGAACTTGTATATTTCTAAAGGTGCTTCATTAGAACTGTGTGGTCAGGATAATTACTTACAAGCGTTACCAAACCAGAAACCTAAATCTGTGCATTCAAGAACATGGGGAGGGCTTTGATCTGGAACTGAATTTCATGGCTCAGGCACTTCTCTGTTAATTATCTGATCATTTGATATACTAACATTGATATTTAAACAGGCTGCAAGGGGTGCTACCCTAATATAAGTATTTACTTTTACCATCTTTTTAACAGCTGCTACATTCAGATGACATTTCCAAGAGGTGGGCCAGTGTTTCTCTAATGACTGATAAGATCACACTATGCTACTCTGCAGGACATATCTGTGCACACAACTGGCCTATGTTGATGCATGTTCTTACTCAGATTGTCTTCATCCAGTCTTCTTTACTCCTTTCTATTGTTTGCCACATCCACAGTGCCTCCTTGTCTTGAGTTAGGCTCTGATTCTGTGCTTGGTAGTGTGTAGACAGGTTGCTGAGCTAGTACGGTGAGTCACTGAAGTCATGTGTAGAAATTCTCTCACCCAGAATC